TTGAGATAAGGAAATTGAAACTTGGGGAGGGAACTGGCTAGTCTGCATGGCCAGCAGAGATAGAGCCGAGTGTTTTAATTGCTCGTTCGGTGTCTGTTTCCACCACTAAATTGCCATTATCTTCAAAGGATTAAAATCAACAAGTTGATACAACTGAGACAAGTCTAAGGCTGCCTTACTTCCTCTCACAAATAAAAATTGATAAAACCAACTTGGAATACCTACTTATGTAAGTGTTGGAAGCCCTGTTCTTAGGTCTGTGTGAGCCTGTGAATGTCTGTATCTAACTGAAGAACTGGGGAATCATCTATATTATTCAAGAGGGGAAAATGTTTTATCCAGAAAGAATGTCTGTTCTCAGCAATAAGATGCTTGAAACATACATGGCACTATCTTTTGCAAAGCCTTCCCTTTTGAACATTTTATATTTCTGAAGCAACAAAAATTTATTTCATCCTTTTGACCAAAATGTCAAGGTTATTTGTAACTCGTTCTTGATTTGGCTTACAAATATGAATGGAATTAGTAAAATGTTTTAAGTTAGACTTAGAACCACCAAAATCTAGAGGTAAATGAATCTTTCAGATGACCTAATCCAAATCTCCAACAGGTAAGAGCTTAGAATCTCCATTCCCTCGCCATGTACAAGCACAAGTCTATTTGCTAAAGCTGAGAGAAGAATTTCCACTCCTGCCAGCTCTAGAAGCCAGTTGTTGGAAGTGACAGAGATTCACTATCTGAATCAGTCAAATCCTAACGTGTGTATAGTTATGACAAGTGAAGCATCACTTAGTGCCATAAAGGTTTGTGGTACTAATGTCAATATTCGTGTCTAGTTTGTTCTATGTCTTAAACTAAATTTCACCTTCATTTTATTTATTGTGTTTCAAAGAGAAAAAAAAACCTCTTCAATAAAACAACATACCAACATTTGTCTAATTGCTCCACAACTCCACATCTATATATATATATATATATATATATATATATATATATATATATGTCTACAATGCCATCTTTGCAGTACAACTTAAAACTTGTGGTTTTTCCTAACATGAATGTGGGATTGTTAAGGGCTTTAATGTTTATTTTTTCCTTCAGGAATTAATCTTCTTCAAGAATATATTCCTTATCATTTTATGCATATATTAAATTTAATTGTGTTAAGAGTAACCATACTTGTTAAGTTGCAATCAGCTAGAATATAGACTGCATTAATTGATATTAGTTAATGTTTAGCTTTTTTCCAAAATCAGCTAAATAAATAAAATGCCCTACAAATCTGCATCTAAACTTTTACTATTGCGATTGATTGGTCTGTCTTTTGAAAAAAATTCTGAGGTATACACATACAAAGAGTACCTGATTTTATGGGGAAAAAATACAATATACTAGTAATAAAGCACTGTTCTTTAAATTAAGAGCCATAATAATAAAATAAGAGCCATGAATCTCAGCACATTGTGAAATACATTGTACTGTGATTTTCTTTCCAGCATTTTAAGAGCAAAGATGAGAGCTAAAAGAACCAGAGGGGAAAACAATAAAAGTTATTTTTAAAAAAAGGCATAAGGGCTAGGAAGGTTGTCATGTGATAGAGCACTTACATAGCATTTGCAAGGCCACAGTGTCACCACATCACCACAGAATTACCACAAAATGAATTAATCACCACAAAATAATTAATTAAGGAAGAGAAAGAAAAAGCCAATAACCTAGAAGTAGAGAAATTTAGAGAAATGAAAAGTACAAGGGTTGATAGCACACAACATGATACTTTGACCCAGAGACGGTAGAATGATACAGGGCCAATCCTGCAGGGACACGCACACTTGCCCAGCAAAGCTTTACTGGGGAGAGGAGGAAATGACTTCAGCCAAAATTGAACTTTGGCTGATGGAAGAGAGTAGTTGGTGGAGAGAGTGATCAAGCTTCTACACTCAGAGCAAAAAGAGTAGATTTTTATTAATTTTCTGGGATGAGCTACAGTCCAGTGATTTCCATTAGCCAGGGGCATTTTTGCTTTAAAAGATGTTCCTTCTTGGGGCTGGAGATTTAGCTCAGCGGCATAAGCACCTGCCTTGCAAAGCAGGCGGTCATGAGTTCGATCCCTGGTACCAGAAAAAGAAAAAAAAAAAAAAAAAGATGTTCCTTCTTTTGATCAGTTTGGAGCCAGAACCCTCCTCCTACACTGTGTTCATGATCGACTTGTCCTAGAAGTTACTGAATTTCCAGGAACTAGATCTGGTGCTGTCATCCTGTGCAAAGCATGTCAGCCTTGAATTTGATGGGCTAACAAGTGGTCACCTTCACTCAGGACCTGCTGACTTACACTTACAGCTGCTTTCATCACCTTGCATAAATGTCCTGGTCTAATGAGAAAGTTTAAGGTCTTCCATTGTTTGAGCTGCGGAGGAAGCACTGAGGAGTTGGAGTAGAAGAAGCACATAGCAGCCTCTTTGAGCAACAAACAGGCCAAGCTAACCCTGTACTCACTCTTGGAAAAACACATTTTTAAGTGATCAACCTATCTACATGCACAAATGAGTAGAATCTGATTCCAGGGTTAAGACAGCACAGGTTCCCTGGTATTGACTGACAGCTTTGTTTTGCCATATTTGACTGTATTCTCCCCCCCCCAAAAAAAAGTAATAAGCACTAAGGAGTAATGAAATCCAAAGTGCGTGAATTTTGTTGTAAAAAAGAGAGGGAAAAAAAAAAAGAAAGAAAAAGAGCTCTAACGGATATAACAGCAAGTGTGTTTAGGGGTGTTAAATAGCTGACTGTATCAATGTTTTTGGATCATTGAACACAGCTGTTTGCAGTCTACCTGTTTGAATGTCCACCTTGTATTCTTTGATACTGTGATTTGAGGAACTATTTTCAAGATGATAATATGTAATATACTAACAGGTGATTTCTTACTGTTATGTTTTTTGTTTGTTTGTTTGTTTTGTTTTTTTTGTTTTGTTTTGTTTTTTTGTAGTTCTGTATTACGTGTACCCTTACACCGCTTTGGTTTGTTTTGTGTTTTTCTCTTTTTCCTCTTAAATAAAAAAAAAAAAAAAAAAGACAGCACAGGAGACAGACACACTCTGAAGACAGAGGTACGAACCTTTATCCGATTTCAGTCACCCATGACTTGCAGGTCTAAGTGCAGTCAATGTCTTTAGCAAATGTGGCCTTCAGGTCCCTGAGTAATAACCTAGGAAACTGTTCTCATAAATGCCAAGTCAGATGTAGGAAAATAACACTATATTGCCCACATGTGTGACCTCCAAAATTAGTGATGTTAGGTTGATTAAGAGCAATTGAAACTAGAGAGTTTGTTTAGGCTTTTTCTTTCTTGTAAAAATGTTTAATTTCATACAAACACCCAACATCAAGGGGTTTCATCAGGGTCTCCTGATGAAACATGGGTCTGTTGAAACATGCCATGCTGCTAAGGACAATAGTTTACTGTATGCAGGACTTTATTTTGTCATCTGAGCCTTTTGTCCCATCACTACTGCACAGTTGGGGTCCCTAACTGTCTTAGGAGAAAGAAATCAGAAGTCCTGATGATGTAGAACTTTTTCACAGTCCAATTTTTACTGAACTGTAGCCAGTAGACATTTAATCCTTGCTCATTAAATTGTCTATTAGATACTGATCTCTAAACAAAACAGTCACAGGATATCTTTTCAGAGCTAAATATAACTGAGACCAATGACACCTACCAAAGTCATAGAGAAAAGTCAGATGTAACCAATCCAGACCTAATCTAGGTAAGAGAGATCTCCTATTTCACAAAGAATTTTGCATTCCAAATAAGCACAATCCTTACTAAGCAAAACTGCTTCCTTATTTTGTTCTCAAACACAAGTCTTTCCATTCTGCCCCATAAATAGACCTGGGTTAACAGTGAGGAAGTCCATCTTGCACTCTATATATTGTAAGCTTATACAGACTTCTCATACACCTATTCTTCCCCTTTGTCTTCCTGAAGTCCTATGTCATTGCTACCTCTAACATATAAGTATCTTTCATTTATTTAACATCTGCGCTCTGTATAATCTTTAAAGCAACCATTAAGTAGCTACAATTATTGCTGCCTTCTATCAGATTTGTAAACTGAGACACAGTCAGGTTAAATAAAGTTTCTCCAAGGTCACAAAGCAATCAGACTGCCTCATCCCAAAACCCAGACACTTGACCCTCTTATTTCTTTCTGAGTTCTGCCCTTTCCTTTCAAGACTGACATTGTGCTTCTATTTCTTCTGCCTAGAAGATCTGCCCTGCACTGAGATCACCATGGTCATTCTTCAAGCTCTTCTTTGTGAAATGTACCTTGCCTGAGAAAAGTTAGTGAATGTCTTCCTTTTCCAGCAAGACGCCAGACAGGAAGCCACACATCCCAGGACAAATGTTATGCTCACATGGACCCAGTGTCAGTACTCACCACAGAGATGAGCACTGGTCTAAGGAGAAGCATTGGTGTATTGAGTGCCATATTTTCTCTCTACATTTGTGTTTTACATTTGTGTTATTAGTTGGAGAATAAAACTCCTAGTGACCATGAATTCTGCCTAGCTTATGCAGCATGTAAAGCAATTCACTTAAGGAATAATAAACCAGGTGGTTAAGAGAGAAAAATTACAGATAAGAAAGATGATTACTCCCCAAAAAGCTATTCCAGCCATATGGGGCTCTCATGCAAATGGTGAAAACTCACACAAATGTGTCTAAGAACAATAATTGAGGAGGGGTGAATCCATTTTTTTTTTCTAATTGCTTAGTTCCTGGATTTAAATATACATCAGTCTTTTCAGTGAAATGAACTCATAAAGAGTAAATGTATTTGTACTCATTAGAGAATTTTAGGTTGTAAAGTTACTTACATTAAAACTTTTCCAATAACTTGGAGCATTGCATATCATTTAAAAAGCCAGTGATCCATATGTCACTCGCTGTTATACAACTGAAAGGATTTGCTAACTTGACTTTCTTCTCTTTTCCAGATCTTGGCCATTGTGTCTATCTTGTTCATCGTACTTTCCACCATTGCTTTATCTCTCAACACCCTACCAGAGCTGCAGGAAATGGATGAATTCGGACAACTCAATGACAACTCCCAGCTAGCACATGTGGAAGCCGTGTGTATAGCTTGGTTTACCATGGAGTACCTTCTGCGATTCCTGTCCTCACCAAACAAATGGAAGTTCTTTAAAGGCCCATTAAATGTCATTGACTTGCTGGCCATCTTACCATACTATGTCACCATTTTCCTCACAGAGTCCAACAAGAGTGTGCTGCAGTTCCAAAATGTGAGGCGAGTGGTCCAGATCTTCCGCATCATGCGCATCCTTAGGATCCTGAAACTCGCGAGACATTCGACAGGCCTGCAGTCTCTAGGGTTCACCCTCAGGCGGAGTTACAACGAACTGGGCCTGTTGATATTGTTTCTGGCCATGGGGATAATGATATTTTCCAGCTTGGTGTTTTTTGCTGAGAAAGATGAAGATGCTACCAAGTTCACCAGTATCCCTGCATCATTTTGGTGGGCCACCATCACCATGACCACTGTGGGCTACGGTGACATTTACCCTAAAACATTGTTAGGGAAAATTGTGGGAGGCCTCTGCTGTATTGCTGGCGTTCTGGTAATTGCCCTTCCTATCCCAATAATTGTGAATAATTTTTCTGAGTTTTACAAGGAACAGAAACGCCAGGAGAAAGCAATTAAAAGGAGAGAAGCTCTTGAGCGGGCCAAAAGGAATGGAAGCATTGTTTCTATGAATTTAAAAGATGCCTTTGCTCGAAGCATGGAACTGATCGATGTGGCTGTCGAGAAGGCTGGAGAGTCAGCCAATACAAAGGACTCGACTGATGACAACCACCTGTCTCCAAGCCGGTGGAAGTGGGCCAGGAAAGCTCTGTCGGAAACAAGCTCCAACAAGTCCTATGAGAATAAGTACCAGGAGGTTAGCCAAAAAGACTCCCATGAGCAGCTGAACAACACTTCTTCCTCCAGCCCACAGCACCTGAGTGCCCAGAAACTGGAGATGCTGTATAATGAAATCACCAAGACACAGCCTCATTCTCACCTGAACCCGGACTGCAAAGAAGAGCCTGAGCGGCCATCTGTGTACGAAGAAGAGATAGAAATGGAAGAAGTAGCCTGCCCGCAGGAGCAGCTGGCTGTGGCACAGACGGAGGTCATCGTGGACATGAAAAGCACCTCCAGCATAGACAGCTTCACCAGCTGTGCCACCGACTTCACAGAGACAGAGCGATCACCTCTGCCACCGCCCTCTGCATCTCACTTGCAGACAAAGTTCCCCACTGACTTCCCAGGAACAGAAGAGCACCAAAGAGCCAGAGCCCCTCCGTTTCTCACACTAAGCAGAGAGAAAGGGCGGGATGCCAGGGGTGCCTCTCTAGATTATGCCCCTGTCGACATAACTGTGAATCTTGAGGCCAGTGGTGCCCAGTGTGGGCTACACGGTCCTTTGCAGTCTGATAGCACCATTGACAGCCCTAAGAGCTCGCTGAAAGGGAGCAACCCACTAAAGTCCAGATCTCTCAAAGTAAACTTTCAGGAGAACAGAGGCAGTGCACCCCAAACCCCACCCAGCACAGCAAGGCCACTGCCAGTAACAACAGCTGACTTTTCTCTCACCACCCCGCAGCACATCAGTACCATCCTCCTGGAAGAAAGTCTCCCCCAGGGAGATAGACCCTTGCTGGGCGCTGAGGTTTCAGCACACTGCCAGGGACCTTCCAAAGGGCTGTCCCCTCGGTTTCCCAAGCAGAAACTGTTTGCTTTCTCTTCAAGAGAGAGGAGGAGCTTTACTGAAATAGATACTGGCGAGGATGAAGATTTCTTGGAGCTTCAAGGGGCAAGGCCAGACAAGCAGGCAGACTCCAGCCCTAACTGCTTTACAGATACACCTAGTGACGTGAGAGACCCTTTAAGAGAAGAGGGCTGTGTGGGCTCTTCCTACCCCCAGAACACAGGTCACAGTTGTAGGCAAGACATTTACCATGCTGCAGGTGAAGTAAAAAAGGACAGTAGTCAAGAAGGGTGCAAGATAGAAAACCACTTGTTCGCCCCAGAAATTCATTCCAACCCAGGAGACACGGGTTATTGTCCCACACGTGAAACCAGCATGTGACTAGTTACAGAAGCAATAATAATGAAAATAATAAAAACTTGTTTCTTAAGATGCGATTAATAATGCCTGTGAACTAAAACATGGGAAGCCCCCCCAAAAAGTGCATAAAATGTTATTTTTGCATGGCATGAACCATTTAGTTTAAGTACTGTTTAAATAAAGAGTCAAGACTGCATTTTGTAACAAAAAAAAACTGAAGAACAGTGAACCAATAAAGAGAGCTCTATTAGGAACCAGTACTCTGCAATGTTTGACATTTTTGATCCTTTCATTTCAAATTGTAGGCAGATCAAGTTTTAGCATTTCTGTTGCAATGAATCTTAGAATTTGCACATGAAAGGATGAAATGTCATTGCATGCATTCATAATTATGAGGAATAAGGTGCTTTTGAGCTTGCAAAATGCGTTGTGTAAATAATGGGGCCTGGATGCAAAAGTGTCAAGAACATGTGGAAACAAGTTTCTGAGACACAGATATTTCCTTCATAGCTGCAGCCTGGAGGAGCTGAACAGACTTCCTGTTGCAAAATTGCAACCTCTTCTTAAACCATCTCGCATATCTTGCTCGGGGTTATAAAGGTCTTATAAAAATAATTGTTTAAAGGAATACAGTATTTTTATTCATTTGTGATATAATTCATAGGGTACTCTTTTTTTTTTTTTTGCTTCTGCTAAGTTGTGGCATTTGTGATTTTACTTGTTAATCATGGAAATCAGCAGGATTTAATGACCAGATACTACAATATTTTAATCTAAGCTTGAAATTTTGCCGTTAAATTGTGTATCATGCCACAGCCTAGTACAGTAACTGTATTTTTTAAAAATGAAAATATAGGAAAGCTTTTTTAAAAAATGACACTCTATATTTGCAAATTCATTCTTTTTTAAATAATTGTATTTTGGCCCTCTAGATACAAAAATATTTTCCTCTTATATTCCACATAAACTTTTCTAACTAATGGTATAAAATGCAGATATGCCAAAATGGGCATTCCATGACAGACTTTTGACAAACTAAACTAAAAGCAGGGTCATTTAAATGAGACTGCCATCACCCTTCATAGATAGAATTGGTTCCAACATGAGTGACCGTGCAAACAGGGCAAGGTGGGTAATAGGCTCACTCAGCGTTTCTCACTATGGGGTGGGATGATGGGAAGACACTGTCATTTGCTGAAAGAAGTTGGTCCTTTTGTAGGTGAATTTTGCTCCAGCCACCAATAACAGTAGCACCCTCAATAACTGCAACAAATGAAAACACCTTCTTAGGTTTGCACTCACTATCCTGCCCTACAAGTGATCTGGACTATGTTTGTTGAAATTCTTCCAGCATTTTCTACTGAGAGCCCTGAAATGCAGAGGAGCAAAGGCACTGGCTGGAGGTTTCCCTATTGATGAAGTCTGGGTCGGAACCTGGGTCATCAAGCAACTTTGCTTCTCAGGAGCCAAGGCTGCTTACATAGGTGCAAGCTAGTAGGTACGTGATCTTAGAGAAGCCTCTACCAGCCCCTTTGGGTCTAGGCTTCACCCGGATAAAATCCAAAGCAAAATTATCTCTAAACTCCCCTTACACTTCCACAAAATGTAATTCCTTGTCTTCCAGGCGCTCCTAGATTTTGCCTCCAGGGCTTTTAGCAATGTGCTTTTGCCCTTATGCATATGCAGTTCAAGGAATGAGTCAGAAAAATGCTGGGCCTTATTAAAAGCACTTCTTGTTTAAAAGAAAACTACTCTAATTTTCACTATCGTTTTAAAAGAAAAACAGGGAAACTAGTTCAAATACTTAAAATGAATCTAATTTAAGCCTTTAACATTCCTTAATTAACAGAATCTGGTCATTAAATCTCAAGATAAGCAAATGAATTTTGATCTGGGTTGAACTCCAAGCAGCCCTGCTGCTAAAAATAACTTAAAACATTTCTCTTTTCTTTTTACTGTGCTAAGAATTTAATGGTTGTCATGTTTGTTTCAAAACATAACTTTAAGTGTTTATGATCATTAATCATTGATATTTACAGTACTCATTTATTTTAGTGTCTAGAACTAAATGTTGATCAGTTTTGTAAATCTGAATGTTTGAATTTTCTATATATAGTTTTTCAAAGTCAAGCAGGGTATATCTGCTGTTAGGTAAATAGCAAATAATTTATGAAAATCATTTCGTTACATATCCTCATGGAGCAGTTATTTTCTGTCTCTTACAGGTGAATCTCAATTTTTAAAATTCATTTCACTGAATAAGTGGACTTGACTTATCATCCTCACAACTGACTAATGCCTCACATTTTATGTGTCTGTTGGGCCTTCTACTGAGAAGCCCACTCCAGAATATCAGTAACCTTGTCCAGTCAAGGAACACTTGACATTCCTCTCTGGAAGCATTCTCCCTAAAATTTACTTACTTTTCAATTCAAAGTTTTTGTTTCTGTTTTTGAAGTTTTAAAGATTTTTCAAAAACATCCTATGGAAAGATAATCCTTTAATTCTCAGTTCCTGTGGTCTGAAATCTTAAGCTAGGGGAAAAAAGGGAGGGAGAGAAAAAGAGAAAGGAAAGAAGGAAGAAAAGGAAAGGAAAAGAAAGAAAAAGAAAGGAAATAAGGAAGGTTTTCTTTAAAATTTTTGTTTCACAAGGAGGCAGTTTGGGAACCAGGGTGTCTCAACATGCACTTCTGTAATGCTTTCTAAACCTTTCCAGTGAACTGCAAATAATTCTGAGGGTAAACATGCATACCTAGAAAGATCTGGAAATAATACCTACCAAGCACATGGTTCTTTTAAAGTTTTATGTTTTACATTAAAAATTTGCGTCAGTATTGGATTTTACCTCATGATCCATCTGTTGTCAATATTTTTAAATGATGTTTTATATTATTACCAACTAGTAAAACGGATACTCTTACAACTTTAAATACCTCTTTTGTACTCCCTGAAAAAAATGCATCTACAGTTGGAGAATCATTACCTGAATAACAGGAATATAGAGATTGGTGCCTTGAGACTTCTGTAAGTTTTTGCTGCTGAGAGAGTTCATTCATCATTGCCTAGCTCAGTGTCCAGGGACAAATGTCAGCAAGTAAAGACGACAAGTGACTCAAAATCACAGTCCTCTGAATGGCTAATCTGATTCTTTCAGCTTTCTTAACAACCAGTGCAGATTGCCACAAGATCATTTTAGCTCAAAAAATGGAAACCAGTCACAAGAGGATCACCCTGGGGGGCATCAGAGTCTGTCTCGGGTAGGTACACACATACTAAGTAGGTCCCTAAATTTAACTTCATTAATCTCTAAACATTTGATGAAAAACTTCTTTTGTTCAAGCCAACTACTCTGAAGTAGACATGTGATCAAGCATTATCCTGATGTGACTAGATTTAGTAATAAAAAGAATACATGCCAAGTGTCTGTTCCTATTAATTTTTTGTTAACAGATTCACTCTCGTGTAGACACCAGCCCAGTTAAAAAGTTCAAGTTATTACTCTTGTTATTTGAGTAAAGAAAAACCATATGTATGTAGAGTACTTCATGCTTTCTTCTCACACACAACAATTTTCTAAAGTATTAATAAAGGGCATCAGAGGTTTTGTTCTTTTTTCAAGGTCACACAGATCACTGGGAAACAGTGGGGCCTCAACCGTGCCGTCTGTCTTTAAGTCGAGCATTCAAAATATTACTGGAAAGTATGTTTAACAAAAGGATTTTATTCTATTAATGTGTGAAATTATGTAAATGAAAATGAGGTACATGTATAGCCATGTAGTTTATTTAAGGCAGCAGTAGAACATGACAAATAAAAATGAATTGAGATCATTGGCATGGACCATGTTTAGCACATATGTTTGCCAATTCCAATTCTGGCCAGAAGATGCACATCCCTTGGCTAAAGAGAAGAATTCATCATTCATGATGTGATATGATATACAATATTAGTCAGAGAGCTGCAGCAGATCATGTGACTTTCCCAAACAGAAATAAATAGAACTTTAGAAGTACACCTAAGTTCAAAAATATTTTCTAATTCAATTTGATCATTTGTTCATTCAGCAATGACCAAACCAAGGGAGCCTATGACAAGCACAAATGGTATTATTTTCCAAAGAACTTTTTTTCCTAAGAAATAGATGAATGGTATAAACCCTGATACATAGTAAATTTTGAATCAGTTTAGTCTTCATGCTTGAAATAGTAAATGGTTAATTCAATTGAGTGAGGTTACAAGTTTCCTTTCTTTATCTGACAAATTTAGTAATTTTTCAGGGCTAGGAATGTAGCTCAGTGGTAGAACACTTGCCTAGTGGGCAGAAGGTTGTGGCTTACATCTTCAGCACTAGAAATGAAAGCAAAAAACAAGAAATAACTTTTCAACTAGATATATTGCTTGTCAGAATAGCTAGTAATAGCTTACCACAAATAGCTAGAATAAATAACATTAATGGAAAAGTCTACAAGTACTCTTGCAATTTTGATAGTTAAATGATTACAATTGAAGCATTTTAATGTTTTTTCCTACTTTTGTTTGTAAGCAATGTCTTAGGGATGTATCATTATCTTCTGCTTATCCCTTCAATATCCAAAAATTATTTAGCTTGACTCAAAGGATTTATGTAATATAGCTATATGTACGTACATATATATGTATAGATACATATATATGGAGAGAGAACTAAAAAATGTATATGTACTACAGGAAAAGAAAATCAGTGTGATATTTCTTCAACAGATGGTGTTACCCTCATATTGGGGATTCTAGAGGGTATCCTATATTGCAGGAAGCCCACCTCACTGATGGCCCTTAGTGAAGAAATTGAAAATGCATGCACAGTACTCTCAGTGACTGAGATTACCCAAGCAACAGTTTGCCATAGTAATAAAGTTCTGGAAGCTAATGACCATCACTTTGACCACCTTTTGTAAGTGTAAATGCCAAAAGTAATGTGTATTAATCTCATGATGTCTCAATAAGTTTAGTGTTAAAATATTTATACAAATTTTTCTTTTCCTGAAGCATATATATATATATATATATATATGTCCATATTTGCCACTGCAATGTCCTGTTTCAAACCAAGGAGAAAGAAATAACTATAATATCTAAATAGAAATGAAAATATTTAAAGACCAATCCCTGCTAAGAAGAAAATATCCCAACTCCAAAGTCCTACGTATTTTCCAATTTAACATATATATATTTATATATATGAAAAATTTAATACACATATATATGTTAAACTGAAATATATATATATATATATATAGCTATCCTTTAATGAAAATAAACATTTCTTCTACTTGCCTTTTTAAAACTGCCTGACTGAACTGTATAAATCCATTTTACCATTGCCATTAATGCATAATCTCATCCTTTATGAAGTCTAAAAGGGTTTTAACCTATAAATGTACACATAAATATAGTATAATAAGTCATCTCAAAACCAGCAAAAGATATAAGTACAAAGAAAGTGAAAAAGATTAAGAAAAATGTAAGTAAATTGGTGTATTTTTTTAAAAAGAAAAGTTTGTATTAGGTATACATGTATACTTGTATAAAATTTAGAATGAGTAGTTATTCACATAGAAATTAGAATTGAGGCCATAATTTCCAAATTACTTTCTCTATTAAAAATTTTTTATCATCATACAGATATTTCTAGATTGCTATTAATGAACAACAAAAATTTGCATGTTTACTATGTGCCAGAAATTAACTCATGTGTGGTTCAGTCCCTCAAGTTTAAAACCTAGAAGAGATTTCATAATTGATTCTGTATTCCATAGTGAATTCCACCAGATGAGCTAGAAATAATATGATAGTAGTCTGAGTTTTTTTCTGAGAATTTCTATAATCCTGTTTTGTTTTGTGAGACCTAAATTGCTTATTTTTTATTCCTTAATCTACAATCTGAATTTTTAGCATATAGTTTCTGAACATGCAGCCTCAAAGTTACAAGAGCTGTCTGGAATTCAATGACAGTGTATTTCAACAAAGACATTTTTCACTTCAGCAAAAGAAAATAAGATTCCAGTCAAAAATTATATGCATAGTAATTATTTTTAACAGTTCTGGTTGATTTTTTTAAATCCTAACCTGTGTGCTAAGACCAAAGACATTGCAATCTGCTCACCTGATAAAAGCTGAAAATTAATCTGAACAATGCAGTTTATGTGCATAATTCTGGAGAACAATATGACTGAGTAGTTAGTTCTTCCTTCAGGTATTGTTTCTGCATTTAAACCAAAAGCAGCTACAACTTGGGTGAAGTTTTTTGTCGTTATTGCGGTTGGTTGGTTTGTTTTATTTGTTTGTTTGGTTTGGTCTGGTTTGGTTTTGTAGTCACACCTTAATTTTCTTTTTCTTATCCCCAAATGTCTGTTAAAACTGTGGTTATACCCTACATTGCACTTTCACAATACTCCCACCAGTTGCCGCTAAATCAAAATCAAGTCATGAATTTAGCTAAGTACCTGGCCTGCACTCTGAATACAAAATTACTTTGATCATTCTGACATGAGTTGGAAATTAGAAAAATGGTAGTTTTTTTAAAAAAACAAGAAACCTGTGAAGGCAAAAATATTGAGTTGATGAACTCAGGAATCCATAGTTTGCATTCTACATAAAAATTACAAGTAGAGCCCAAAATATCTCAACTGACCCTGGTGAAAAAACAGGTGTTTTAAAACTCCCCGTGGACAGCTGGGGTGCTGAACAGAAATTCTGCTATAGCCATATTCCTGGCCCATCTTTAAAAGATGCTTCTAACGTTCTTCTTCGCAGCATATGGGCTAGGCTATGTTTTTAACTTATGAACTATACTCAAAACATATTTAATTGAAATTAGGAAAAATTTTTAAAAGAAAACAAATACACAAAAAGCAGTGTGCACCAATGTTGTTTGAATTGCTTATTCATCAAGTTATCAGAATTAACAGCAATGTATATGTCATAAAAGTCTTGCTAAAGAATTGGCAAAAATTTTCCTATTTAGTTCAAAAATGAAAGAAAGTAAAAAAACGGTGACTTACAAAACACTGTTTGTCACGCAATAGCCAAGTTCCAAACTTATGCAATTTTAAAGAGGTATTTTCAGCCATAAAAAATTCACAGTGAATGGATAACAAAGATTTATTAAGCAAATATGAGGCATTGATAGCACACTGAAGTATTTTTAATAACCTTTACTTTAACTACAAAATCGATATGTCAGCTCTTAGCACCTTGTTTTCAATCCAAAATATTTTCTATTTTATACCGCTGCTTATTCTATTTGCTTGCTCTGATTTAGTTGAACAGATGAGAGTAAGTGAAAGGAAGAGTTTAAGGGGGAAAAGCTTTGGAAAATGTATTAACATTACCCAGTGCACCCTGAAGAGTAAGAGAAAAGAGGACATTATTTGACCGTCTCACTCCTTTCTACCTTCTCAAATTTACCCTTTTGGTCTGAAAACAAATTCTCATGATCAGATCTCAAGATCTTATTCATTCCGAGTTTTCAATCTTCTTCTGTCTACGGTACCCAGCAGCAATCCTTCCCAAGGGTCTGCTGCTTAGCACACATCAGGTACCAAGTCAAAGACAGAGCTAACTAGGCGAAGGCTAAAGCCAAAGGAAACATGTCCAGGGGGCCAGAAAAATACATGGATGCTTAAAGAAAAAGAAGAAAAAGGATTTTCTCAGTACAGCATAATCCATGATTTGACAAACAAAACAATGATCTAAAATCTTATTTCATGGTTAACAGAAAAAAAAATAGATTTGTTTTGTTTTATTTCGGGTTGGTTGTTCTAGAAATCAAACCCAAGACTCCCAAATGCTAAACACACACCCTACTTCTGAGCTACACAGTAGTTCAACCCAAAAACACAGTATTATTTAAGCCTTTGTTAAGTTTTTGAATTTCAAAGGGAAACAGTTGAGTTGATGAAAAAAATAATGTCTAACTCACTAATTTATCACAAGACACCATCCTAAATGTACACTTTCTACTAAATGTCTGTATAACCAACTAGTGCATCTGTTTTCAGAGCAGTACACTGAAAGAAGAATTCCAACACTCCCCTTTTCTTTTTCAGTCATAACAAACATTTTAATCAGAGAAAACTGATACTATTCCAGTAATTTTCATATGGTTCTGGGCCAAAGTTTCAGAGCCATTTAAACAAAACTTTAGTTCAACGTAATAAGAGAGAAAGCCATATCAAAAAATCATAGTTTACTAGATGTCTAATTACATATAACTCATATTTGGATTAGAATTTTTAAATTACTATTTATGTGAAAATATTTTCTGTGGCCATTAGAAATTAACATTTCTCATTTTATTATAAATATGAGTACTTTTTAAAGTACTGTTACAATTTAAATGAAATAGTGTAAAATAAAACAGCTAGTACAATGCCTTGCA